TAAAGATCTGTACGCAGCGGCTTCAAACCGTCTTTGCTAGCCATCCGCCATGGTGGGTGGGTGAAAGACCCGAGCTAACATGGGGTTAGCTCGTTAAATTACAATAAAGCCTCGTGCAGTTTGCAGCAAGCTCTCGAATCTGCCTGGTGATTGGGGTGACCGCGAACGTGGCCTGGGACCCCGGATACTTGAGTTTTCGGGGGTCTAACATCTGAAAGTGTCACTTTATCAACTATTTACTAAAAAACAAAGCAAACAAAAAAACAAACAAACAAACAAAAAAGCCCGGTAGTGGTGGTGCACACCTTTAAACCCAACATTCGGCAGGCAGAGGCAGGCAGATTCTGAACTCAAGGCGAGCCTGGTCTATAGAGTGAGTTCAAGGATAGCCAGGGCTACACAGAGAAACCCTGTCTCAAAAAACCAAAGCAACAAAAACCAAAAACAACAATGACAAAGAAATCTATAATATATGTAAGTCTGTGTATAAATGTATAGTTTAAATGAAATTTGCTCATCTGTGCTGCAGTGAGCCAAAGACTACCTAACAAAATCCCCAAGAAAAGACATGGGAAGTCCTCTTTTGAGTTGCTGGTCAGGGTTCTCCAAGAGACTCCAAAAACATATAGCCTATTGCTACTGCTCTTGGTTGCCCTGTAGAAGTGGAAGGTAAGTGCTTATTGCTGAAGATACCATGGACTTCAGATGCGTGCCAAGAGACCCCTGAACTAGAATTGACCTGAATGACTCCTCCCTGAAGACTAGCATCCATAGTACCAGATGGCACCATGTAAGCTCTCAAAGGAGGGAGCAACCAACAGTCACACCAGCTATGATGCCTATGAGCCATAACAATGATGGGCATGTCTTGATAACTCTAGTAGCACACTACCTTGGTGGTAACTGTGCTGGCCAATTTTATGACAACTTGACACAAGCTGGAGTCATCAGAGAGAAGGGAGCCTCAGTTGAGAAAATGCCTCTGTAAGATTGGGCTGTAAAGCACTCTATTAGTGATCAATGGGTGAGGGCACAGTCATTTATGGGTGGTGTCATCCCTGGGCTAGTGGTCCTGGGTTCCATAAGAAATCAGACTGAGCAAGCCATAATGAGCAAGCCAGTAAGCAGCATTCCTCCATGGTTTCTGCATCAGCTCCTGCCTTTAGGTTCCTGCCCTGTGTAAGTTTCCGTCTTGACTGCTTTTGATAATGAACTGTTACATGGAAGTAGAAATGAAGTAAACCCTACTCCCCCAAGTTGTTTTTGGTTATAGTATTTCATCACTATAATAGCAACACTAAGACGGTAACCAACACCTCTCTAATCACACAAAAGACCTGCTCAGCAAGAGGGAAATCATGCCTTGTGCTGGAAACCTAGTCAACTACCCAGGGGTAGTGAAATCATGGACCTTAAAGGAGAAGCAAAACCATCACTTTACTAAACCAGCACAATCCCTTACTGCTTTATCAGTATTTGTCCTTATAGCCACATGTAAGCGTAGTTCTCACCACTCATCAAGGAAACTTCTCTTTGCAACAGAGAGAGGACACTGCAGAACTCCACAACTCGTCAAAATGCAGTCATAAGCCATAAGGTGTTGGTGGCGCACGCCTTTAATCCCAACACTTGGGAGGCAGAGGCAGGTGGATCTCTGTGAGTTCGAGGCCAGCCTGATCTCCAGAGCAGCGAGTGCCAGGATAGGCTCCAAAGCTACACAGAGAAACCCTGTCTCGAAAAACCAAAAAAACCAACAACAATAACAACAACAAAACCCAAAAAACAAAATGCAGTCATAACAGACACATCTACAAAACTATCCTACACCTAAGAGTCAGGGAACACTGTGGAAGAGGAGGCAGAAAGATTGTAAGAGCTAGATGATCTATGAATTTGCTGTGAGACTGTGTCAGCTAGTAATGTCAGAAGTTATACCCAACGAGTCTCACCGTGACTGCCAAAACACGAGCTGAAAAGGACACCAGCAATGCACTTGAGATCTCATCTCAGCCCTGCAGAAAAGACACTATAGACGACTGAAGAATGCTGAGAGAATGGGAGAAGTAGTAGTCTTCCCCAGGCAAGAACACACCAACTAGTTATTCAATAGCAAATGATCAGCCCTGACAACATAACATACAAGTAACATTATTCAGACTGAACAGGTTATATTTAGGAATATATATGTATACAATAGTTAGTGGAAAAGGAGGCCATGAATCTGGAAGAGACAAAGCAGGGGTGTTTGGGAAGGTTTAGAGGGAGGAAAGGGAAGGGAGAAATGAGGTAATTATATTATAATGTCAAAATTTTAAATAAAAAATCCAAACAACTAAACTATTCAAAAATAGGAGGAAAAATTTAACCATATCTAAATCTAAACAAAGAGGCCCTCAGCCTGGTTGAGTTAGGATCCTTGTGTCTACTAAATCAGATTAGCTGAGGAAGAGGTCTAGAAATGCAGATTTTAAAGAATTTGCCTGTTATTCTCACGACCTTCCTTCACTGGTGCAAATGGCAACATGTTTCATACAAAGAACATTTCAGTTGTAGGTGGAGGAGGGCAGCAAGGTCTTGTAGGGATAGATCAACCTACGATTCAAACAAAACCCAGTATAGAGTAAGTTTCACCCCCATATCTTTGACTGGGCTTTAGAAGACACGGTTAGTGTTGGCAAGTGTCAGTCAAGGACGTTCAACCGCATCAGACCATGGGGGAAGGTAAGAGTGTACATGTTAGAATCCTGGACTCTGCTCTACATCTACTGGAAGAAAATCACTGGAGGTGAGTTTGATGATGCACACACACACACACACACACACACACACACACACACACACACACACTTTTTTTTCTGGAGATTGATGCCTAGGTTTTGTACTTGCTAAGCAAGAACTTTGCTATACAGTAGCCTCACTGCTCCCTCAAATATGTATGTATGTATATATTTGTGTGTATATGTATATTATGTGTAATGTGTATAGTATACGGGTAGGTACATGTGCCTATATACACACAGAGGCCAGAGGAGGACACTGGGTGCCCTGTTCTATCATGTGGTTGTTTTGCATATGGATGTTTGTTACCCTTGTGCAGCAAGTGTGCCTACCCATTGAGCCATCTACCTTACCTACTGCACCATCTCTCCTTTCCCAAACCTGTATTTTCAGTAAGCTCCCTAGAAGGCCATAGCATACATTGATGTCTGAGCCTCTCAGTCACATGGTATAATTGCAGGTCTGACTCTAGCCAGACACAGTCTTGGGAAATACAAACCACAATGTTCCTCAGTTGCTTTGTGTAAGGAGTAAATGTGGTCATCTCCAACATACTTCCCATCCCCCCATGACATATTTCCAACTCCAGGTAGAACTGTACCTTATTTGCAGCACTGTAAATTTCGTCCCGCTTGCTGCAGTCCACCACAAAGGGATAGGCCTGGGCACCAAGGTTCCTGCACTTTGCAGCTGTTTCCTCGATGCCATTCTAGAAAAAGCCCCAAAGAGAGCAAAAGAGCAGCGTAAATGATGGAACACATCCTGCAAAAGCTGTGGATCAAGCAGGAAGAAGTAATATTAAAATTCAAGGTGGAATATCTAGAATCTGTTCAGAAAACGAAAGGAGTAAGGGCACTCCTTAAATCATCCTGCAAGGCCAACATTAGCTCACTTACAAAGCTAGACAAAAGCTTGCTGTCCGAAATACACAGAGCATTCCTAAAAACAGGAAAGGAATAGCCTATTTAAAAAAAAAAGAATTAACAAATACTTCACCAAAAATATACAGATAAGAAATAAATAAGCTTGTGAGAAATTGCTTATGATATCAGAACAGTATGTAATACATTATTTGAAAATCACCTAAATGTGTTCAAATTTGATGGGCAAAATTCTCAAACTAAAGATCTTATATGATGAGCAGGCATGAAACAAGAACCTTAAACTAAGGCTTTGTTTTTTTATATTTGTAATCTGAGAAGTATAAATAAAACTTTCTGAGAAGTATAAATAAAATAAAACAATATAAGGTGGGTTGTTTACATAACTAGCCTTGTGAGCTCATTAGCCTTCAATGATTTGGACACAACCTCTGCTAGCACACCTGGTCATTGAAATTTCTACACTCTTGCCTGAGTGATCACAACCATTGGTGTCCAACCTGCTGGCCTCCTTCACTCCCTCCTTCCATGCCCCCCTCTCCAGTTTCCTCCACCCACTAGTCAGAGGATATATCAGTAAAAGATTCCTTCAAACTCTTGGCTGCCCCCTCAGGAGCAAAACCAAAGTATACACAGTAGCTCCCAGGACACCACAAATAGGGGCTCCTGGCCTTAGGTCTCCAAAAATGTAAGGGGTCAAATTCCTCTTTTTAAGTTTTTAGTTGCATATTACAAAAATAAAATTAAAACTAGCAGAATATTGTTTTTGGTTAAGGAAAATTTTGTTCCTCTGATGCATTCAATTAGAGTTTGCCCCTAAATATTTGTACTAAAATATACCATAGCCAAATGTCAAAGCAGGACAGCATGCTAACAAGTTCAGTAGAAGCATCTGATCAATTAAATCATAGGGATATGAAAGGAAATGAGAAAGATCATTTCTGAATCAGCTGTACCCCATACTTCAGCCAATACACAAAGACAAGCCGCTCTCTCTGTGTGTATGTGCACAATGCATTGTACAGATGTATATGCATTCATGTATGTGGTGCATATATGAGTACATATTCACTTGTGCAATGCACTGTATGGAGAGTCACATGTGCACATGGATTGTACGAATGTGCATGCATTCATGTGTGTGGTGTATGTATGTGTACACATTCACATGTTCACACTTGTGTGAGTGATGTACATGCACATGGAAGCCAGAAGTCAACAATTTCTTTTAATCATTTTCCACTTTGGTTTTTTGAAACAGGGTTTCTTACTGAGCCTAGAGTTCACCAAGTCTGTTAGACTGGCTGGCCAGCAAGGTCCACAGGTCCTCCAGGCTCCCCACTCAGTTACAGTCATTGCGCTTGGATTTTTAAATAGACACTGCCATCCCAAACTTGGGTCCTCATGCACTTTATCAACCAAGTTGTCTCTCCAGAGTTTCTCTCTCATAGTCTTGCACTTATCTGTGCATTTGTTGTCACAGAATTCCATGTTTTGGTCATATACATCTAGAAGTTTGGATTGTTACAATTAACCTAAGTATGTTACAAAGCATGGAGAGGCTGAATTAAAACATTATGTGCAGCCCACAGGTCAGAGTTAATAGTAGAAGCAGATAAAACAGACAACAAAGCGTGGCCACAGCCATTGCTCATCACTGTTAAAAAACCAAGGGCTGTCTGAAGTTTCTCCAACTGTGTGCTTTTGCCTCACATAGGGGCATCGTTCCACTCCACCCTTTTATTTAATCCAGTTTACCCATCAAACTATTACCATTTAAACAGCACCAATATAATATTCTGCATTCCTCTTTTCATACCAAATGTTGGGAATCAGGTAGGTTGTCCACACAGAGCTCTTCTCAATTCAGACCAGGAATATTTGAAAAGCTGAACAGCTATGAAGGATGAGCGCCTTTTAACCTACATTAGCAGCCCAGACCCTTTCTTCTCCTCACTCCGTTCCAGGCCTTGCATTTGCTGAGCCTTCTTAAGGCAACTGTCACCACGTGTTTGTGTGTGTTGGTGCTGGGGACTGAGCCAGGGTCTTGTGCATGCTAGGAAAGTGCTGTAACACCAAGCTACGACACCAGCCTGTCTGGTCTCTATCTACTGAGGCCTTCCTTCCATGGTCAACTGTATGTGATTGGTAATCTGTCTTTCCCATGCATAGTCCCAAACTCCTCTCATGTTTATTCCTTTCTACTTAATGCCACCCAATTGTACATTTTATTGTACAGTTTGCCTGTTGTTTTTAGCTCATGAAGGCTGTTTTCATCATTGCTCTATCTGTAGTTCTATACTAGACCACTATGTAGCAGACAGTGCATGTCAATAAATATTCATTGGATACATTTCTGAGAAAAGTTTGTGCTCACCAGTGCTAGAGACTAGAAGTCATCAGCCCAGGTCACTCTTTGTTAAAGAATAAAATTTCACACTAGTTTGCTTGCCATCTGCTAGACCACCTGGCTAAATTATCTCATGCACTGGCTTCTCATCTCACTGGCCTTCTAAGGCAGATACTTTTATTTTATAGATTTGTGCAGGAAAACCAAAGGCTAGGGAAGTCAAGTTTCTCAACTAAGAAGCAAAGAGCCCATGATGTGTCTGAACATATTACCATACGGGCCTTGGCCAGCTGACCTATGCTGGCCCAGTATATATCTTTCTTTCATTGTGTAAATAAATACCTAATATCTGTTTTCTACACCAGACGGCAGGACCCCATCTCCTGTTTGCTACCTGGTCTTAAAATCCAGGCAGTAGCTACTCATGGAGAATTGGTTGCCTGCTGTCTCAACCATTCTTGAGTTAGCTCTTATTTGACCTCATGCACCTTGGCTTCTTGTTTGCAGAATTGGGTGTGTACATAGGCAATGAGTGTCGTGTTATGTCAACAGGTGCCTTCAAATACTCCCGTGTTCATCTACCAAAAGCCAAATCACAGCTTCATCGCCAGGTCCTCCTAACTTCTTCACACACCTCTACCCGAAGGTCCAGGGGAATCACATGGAACGCCCCTCTCTTTTAATTGTTTTGTTACTAGGTGACTTAAATCAGTAACTATGGCAGCGTAATGGTGACTTCTGTAGGGTATCATTTTTGAATTTATCTCAATAACTGCAAAAGAGATTTACCAGCTACACAGTTCTGACTCTTAGAATACTACCTAAAACTGCTGCATTTTCCAAAAGCTTATGAGGATCAGTATCAGGAAGATTACAGGCAATTTACACTGTTAATGCAAGGATAGGAGGTAACCAAGGTTCTTAGCACCCATAGGTCCATTCATCGTGTGGTCATACAGATATAAATTCATGCCTTTCCAGAAATCTGAAAAATATCAATAGTAACTGAAAGCTCTAGTTCTTTACAGACAGCTGTAACGGGTGGTTGTTTTCGAGGTGTGGACCAGTCCCCGGAGTGAAGCTGCAAAGCAAAGGCAGCGAGGGAGCGCTGTTACCTTATTGATATCCCAGAGAACCAATTTGGTATTAAGTTTGGCAAATTCGTAGGCAGTCAGTCTTCCAATTCCATGACCAGCTCCAGTGATCAGGACAAGCTCTCCGGCGACTGATTTTTTCTTCTTGGGAATAAAAAGCTTGACGAAAGACTCTATGCAGAAGACGATGAGCAAGGGTAGCATCAGGATGAAGTCAAGTAGGTACTTCATCCTTCCGGCTGGCCGGTGTTCTCTCTCGTCCCTCGCCTTAAACTGCTTCTGGAGGTTGAGCTGGTCACGCACAGAGTAAAAGCCAGAGGAAGGCAGAGTGCCTCATCAAAGAGAAACAAACAACTCTGAAACCGTTCCTTCCGCGGGGCCGGGCTTCAGGAGGGTTTTTGCCATTGGCTCGGGCTGCGGTCAGAGCAACTGCTCGCTGGCTGGGATATCTGGGAGGGACAAAGTCCAGACGCAAGCCCTAGGGCGGTGCGACCCCGTCAGCTTTTCACCTACTTCCTCCAAGGAGGGGTAGGTGCCATACGCCTTCCTCAATAGGAAAGATCTCTGTCTGCAGCAGACCTTGGAGAGGTAGTTACCCAGTGCTGTAAAGCATGACTGGCAGTGCCTGCAGCTCGCAGGCTACTGCGGACCATCGCCTGAATCTGCATAAGGGTTGCAAAAAATGTGGAACCACATCTCAAAGGACCAGGAAGCAAGGAAGGGGACTCTTGGGGGAAAGAAAGAGGAGTAGCAACAGGGGGATGGGAGGAGAGCTATGGGAGAGGGGCCAATAAGAACAAATAATGAGATACATGTGTATAAAAATGTCACAAAATCCATTTCTTTGCACGCTAACCAGAGATTAATAACAAAACAAATAAACAAGCCAAAGCACAAAGAGAAAAGCCAGTTACTCTGTTCCTGATTTAGGAATGACTCTGCATCGAATTTTAATTTGAATTAAGCACAATTTCTGGAGGGCAGAGGAGGCTGTGTCCTCCCAAGGCATCATCAAGTTTTAGGAAAGGTTTATAGTAAACTCATTTCCTCAGGGAAGAGCAGTGTAGCCTGGCAACCATCTCCCACTTGGACTCAGAGAATCCGGAGACAAGAAACAAAGTGTATACTCAAGGATGGTGATCTTTTCTTTAAACTTATTACTTTTTATATGTGTATGCGTGGTTTGCCTATGTGCTTGTTCATGGTGCAGGTGGAGGCCAGATGAGGGTGCTGGGGATACTGAAAGCTGCCAGCCTGCATGTAGGCACTGGGAATTGTCCTCTCTCGAAGAATAGCCAGTGCTCTTAATCACACAGCCACACTCTCCAGCATTCCCCTCCCCCATACACATTTTTTGAGATAGGGTCTCTATGTAACTCTGGCTGGCTTGGAAGTCTTGTTTTCCCCAAGTCGTTTTGAGTCAATGTTTCCTCACAGCAGCAGAAGCATGCTAACAGCCTGTCTGTTGGTTGACTCCCTCACTCTTAATAAAGGTTCCCAACAGCTTGTTCTTGGTTTATGAACCATAAACATTAGCAGCTGACTTTTCTACAGTGACAGTTGTGGCTTGCTTAATTTTCATCTTACTCTCTTCTATCATCCCAATATAATTATCTCTCCCTTTGCTACTTCTGTTAGATTTTATTTGCGACTTTAGGGAACAAACTTCTTTTTCTGTCTTGTTCCGGCAACAGCTGTTGTGGAGAAACAAGGCACAGTTGTGGAGAAAGAAAAACGCCCCATTCTTCCCCTGGAGTCCGTTTCTAATTCCCAGTTTCTGCTTTCTGTAGGTTTCCTTTCCCATTGTCAAGACTGATCATATTTACTTTCTGCCTTGTAGCCATTACATTTGTTTCCTTTGCCTGTTGAATCTGAAAACTGAAGGCAATGTTTACATTCTTGTAAATCAGGAGGCTCTCCTTAGTGTGGGTCTACTTAGAGGGTTGAGTGCCTGGGACAGAGCACAGCAGAGAAAAGCAGCATCCTCTGGAAATGATGAACCCTGCTGGCCTCCTTTAGAGCTGAAGCAATCTGGTGGCGAAGCCAATATTCTGAGGAGAGGCTGGAATTTTGGCTTTAATAGGACACAGTGGCATATGTTAGCCTGACCTACATATAAAAGATATGGTTAGCTGGGCAGTGGTGGCACACACCTTTAAGGCCAGCACTTGAGAGGAAGAGGCAAGGGGATCTCTGTGAGTTTAAGGCCAGCCTGGTCTACAGAGCGAGTTCCAGAGCAGCCAGACCAATGTAGAGTGACCCAGTCTCAAAACATCCAAGTAAATAAATAAATAAATAAATGACACTGTTTTTGTCACTTTCTAGTTGAATGAGTTTGAAGTTGAAAAAGCATGTGTGTCTCTTTTCTTTACCCTTAAAATGGAGATATTAATAGTTACCTTCTTAGGGTTGTCAGGAAGATTAAAGGGTATTTATAAAATGTTCACAATAATGACTGATACATTTTAAATGCTTTATGAATTTTGAAAAAAATAACCCCTTGGGGGAGAAATGAGGAAAGATTAGACATATTCTTATTTAAAATGCTATTATGTCTGCTGTCTTCATCACAGGGACAGTTATTGAATGCTGTCGTCTTAAGAGTTTGATTATGTTAGGACATGAAGATTTGGCCCCTCATTCTCACTCCCAGTCATAGAAAACTCATCTCTAAACCTAAGACTTTGTTGTGGGGAAGCTGAAGATCAAACAAGGGCCTTTAGGGTTGGCAAGTGTGCTACCGAGTCACGCCCAGAGCGCAGATGTCAATCTTAGGCTCTCTACAAGAGGTGGATAAATGCTAAAATACCGGAGAAGATTGTGCAGACTTCCACTTCCTCCTAACCCACAAACCAGGGCAGCTCTACACTGTTGACTATTGACAGCTTTTGACAAAAAACAGGTATAAGAGATTCACCCCTTGTGGCTCCTGCACGCTTGCAGTTTCAGGTCAAAAGGCTTTTTTTTTTTTTTGCGGTTGCTTCAGCCTTGGAGAACCACCCTGCCCAAAGCAAAGAGAAAAGTGACCTCTGGATACAGGGCAAAGGGACAGAGATAGAGGAAGTGCAGGGGAGGAGTTCCTTATCACACCTTAGGGCTAGGACTGGCTGTAGAAGCCACTTAGGACAAACCAGAGAGATAGCAGCACCCACTGAGTGGTTCTCAGGATCCTGCATCACTGACTGATCTTTGCTTTTCTTGGGACTGTTAGCTGTTAGCTGTGGTTTTTAGGAATGCAAACACAAATATTTCCATTTCCTCTAGAATTGACCAAAAGGCTCAGATTCTCCAAAATATGGAATTTCTTTTCAATCATGTTTCCCATCAGGTTCTGAATTTCCAGGCTTTAGAAGGTGAGGCTGGGCTCTGTATTATATAGCGCACTGCACATCAAGATGCAAGCACTTCTACTAGAAAGATCATTCTAGAAAGTCACACATGATTTCATTGACTTATTCAAGTCCAGAATTCATTTACTGAAAAATATAATTTAATGGAATTCTCTTGTTTAATTATGTTTTTACTGAAATCCAAAAATTAAAAATATAGCCATTGAAAATGAAAGGAACTTTTCCTGAAACAAAAGAATTGAAGAAAATGTCTTTACTTTAGTGCTGAAACCTGGGAGAAGGCGTCTGAAAACAAATATGTTTAGTGTCTTTATTCTTCTTACACACCCCCCCACCAAAGAGGACAACTGTTGTTTCTTTCTAACCAAGTTCAATAAGGGTTAGTATAACTTCTTCATGAAAGGTAGCTTAAGGATGAAGTAGAGAGAGATATCTCTCTTTAGAAGCCCATGGTCTAAGAGCCCATGGTCTAGGATATCTGAATAGAAATTAAAGCAACTAGGAGAAAGAGAGGAAGAGCGATGGGTGGAGAGTTGAGGCAGGTAGAAAGGGAAAGGAAGAGGAGGGGGCTATGTTAATTCAGATGAGGAGAGGTTTTGTTTTAAAATAGTCTTCTTTTGTTCAAGATCATTATACACTTTAATCTACTCAGTATTATTAAGATTGCTTTTTTTCGGAGCTGGAGAGATGGCTCAGTTGTTGCAAGCATCAGTTGTTACAGATGACAAGGGTTCAATTCTTAGTACCCACAAGGTGGCTAGGAGATCTGAGGTCTTCTGGCCTCCACAGATACTGCACACACATGGTACACAAACATGCATGCAGGCAGAACACCCATACAGACTTCTTAAAAAATTACTTGTTTAGATTATACACAAATTTTAGTTCATTTAACTAATGGGACCAAGTACCTAAGCAGCCAGCTTAGATTTTAGAACAATGTGGCCACCCTGTGAGCCACTCCACAGATCACAAGGTTTGATTTGGTGTATCTGTTTTGCAGGTGTTTCTTTCTTCTTTCAAATGTATTTCTCCAGATGCTATGGAATTCATCATGGCAGGGACACACATTTCTCAGCCAAAGAACAAAAGTAACAAGGCTTTGGGGTCATCTATTTTTCATGGTACCTTACAACCCTCTTTGCAATCTACCAATTTTTCAACCCTCCCCTACCAGGAAATTTATTGTTACTATTGTATCACTATTGATTAAAAGTAATTGCAGTGACTTCTATCTGTAACTACTTTGAGCTGATTATACTTACAATTTTATAATATGCTTTCTGCTTTCCTACTTTAAAATGAAACTTAATAACTGGAATACTGTAAATTTTAACAGTGGCCACCTACTTTGGTCATTTTCACCATAAGAGAAGTTTTCATTATAAAAAAATTACTTGTTTTAGCTACAACAAAGATAACTAAAGGGACTTCAGCCAATTGGGAATGAAAGTGTACTAATATTCCAATGCAGCATTTTAAAAAATTGTGCACCAATATTTATTAAGTTAGGGAATCAATTTTATTGCCAAATCAATTTAGGAGATTATACTAGCATGATGGGGAATGTCCTTCTGTGTATATTTATCTTATTGATTGTTGATTAAAGCACTGTTTGGCCAATGAGGCAGCAAGTTATGCGGGACTAGGAGTCAAGGAGGATTCTGGGAAATTTAGTAAAAAGAAGTCTTGTGATACAGGCAGGAAGTAACATAGCAGGCAGACTCATATATAAGCAGGACAAGAAGGAAATTGTCCTCTTGCTCTATCTCTTCCTCTTTTCTCTATGGAGCTGTCATGTGATCCCTGGAAGAGGACGCCAGCCGAAGGTGTCCTCGATAAGATAAATCTTATAAGATATATAGATTTATGATAATTAAGACTGAGCTAGCATATAAGAAATCCTAGTCAATTGGCCAGCAGCATTGTAAACTAATATAAGACTCTGTATGTTATTCTGGGTGCCCATGTGGCGGTGAGGCTTTGGCTTGGCTCTTTTTCTGAAATATTCTATTTCTCCATAACCATGCTGTTCTAGTTATCCAAGGTTTGGTAGACTGCTGTCAATCAAAT